TTCCATGTCATAAAGGCTTAGTCATGTCTCTTGACCAAGCAATGAGCTGGTGCCCTGACAGCATGGTGCTTTGGTGATGAAAAGTCCTTGACAATGACTGGGACAACAGACCTGGGGCACCTGCCCCCTCCACCTCTCCCAAATGCAAACTTGAGCCATTTACTTGGCCATCATTTTCCCCATCCTCTCCCACAAAGAACTACCAAACATCCAAGTTCAGCACAAATTGTGTTCCGGATAAAGGTTGGTGGCCTCATGGGCAACTATGGGAGATAGCCTACCTATTGCCAGATGGCTTCAACTACCCTCCCCTTGTTTGACTTCACAATCCCATAAGCTCTGCAATGCAGAAGAATATGCACCCAGTGGGTCACCATCACTGGTCTCCATGACAATCAAACTGGCCAAGCTATTCACCTCCAAACCAGTATCGGAGGGAGAGATCACCAGCTCCTTGCAGATGTAGAGATCATGCTTGGTACTCCAGGTTGCCTTCTCCCTACAGCCGTCGAAGGCAATACCATAGCCAAAGCCACTCAGCCTTGCTGTCACCCCACAGCCATCACAGGTGTGACCATACCCAAAGTCATTCCGCTTCGCCCTCACAAAGGCATCACTATGTCTGCTACCCCTCTCCTGCTTGTGACATCACAATGGAAGCACAACTGCCCTCCCTTCACCATGTCATATCTGAGTCCATAGCTGCAGTGCCTCTTGATCATGCTCATTCTGATGCCGACAGGAAGAGCATGATATTGCAACACAAAGACCTCAGCAGAGAGATGGATGAGCCCATGGAGGTGGTGTCAGAGATGGAGGAGATGAAGGCAGAGCTGGAACAGGTGACGCAGGAGCTGGAGGAAGTGCAACAGAGGCAGAAGGAGCAGCAGCAGCAGCAACTGCAGGAGCAGGATAGCTGGCAGGTCTGGCAACAGCTGCAGGAATCCCTGCAGCTGCAGCAGGAGAAGCTGTGGCAGGCACAGGAACAGGAATGGCAGGAGAAGGAGTTGTGGGGGGAGGAGGACATCTTCCTGGAGCAAGAGAACTCCCTGGAGCAGGACACCATCATGGATGTCAAGGTGGCTGCCATTGTGGAGCAGGAGGGACCAGAATGAACCTCTGTGTCTGGGAATGCTGCCCCTCCCCTCCCCCCTCCTCCTGTCAGCACTACTCCTGCATTCCTGACTTGATGCCCAATGTCACCAATTGACTCCCTCAGCTCATACCACACTCCCAGTACCATCCCTGTCCTTCCAAGATCACCTTGCACTCCAACACCATCTCCACCACCACCTCCACCATGGCAAGCCTTTTGGCCTCCACCTCATAGGGGTTCGCCTTACTGCCCCTCTCATCCCAGCACTTGTGATGATGATAATCCAAACTGCATACTGCTACTGGCACCGGAAGATTAGAGACCTCTCATTTTTGATGAGGGGGGCTGGTATAGCTACCAGTTCCCTATGCCTCCTCCTCCTCCTCCTCTTCATCTGTTGGAGTTCTGGGAGGATCCAGCAGTCATGAACCTGGAACCTCTCCCCCCTCATCTTGGTTTTGGCAAGGTGAAAGAACCTGTCAAGAAGCCTGCCCCCTCTGAGAAACCTCTCAACAAATCCAAAGACCTTGTCATTTTTGATGAGAAACTGGTGTTGGTAAGTCAGTATCCTCATTGTGCCACCTTATAGCTCACGATGGACAGTAGCTTCATTCTGATGACTGGCATCCACCTGTTGGCATCATTGACCTCACCATCAATCATGGTCATGGTAACAGGGATGAATGGGTGGGTATTCAAGGGAGTGACATGCCAGGTTTCTTTGGTAGCTAAGGACATCCAACAACTCAGAGATACCATTGTCTGGTTGAACAACTGCAGCATCAGCAACACAGTTGTACTGTTCCAACAAGGTTGGCCTGCTTCTGACCCTGTAGTTCCCACCAAGCCCCCCCTGTCAGGGCACCAGCTCATTGCTTGGTCAAGAGACATGACTAAGCCTTTATGACATGGAAGTAGCTGGTATACCTTGGCATGTGCTGGAACCTGCTGGAAGGATTGGATGGTCAGGTGACCTGCTGTGCATGGCTGTGCATGACCTCATATGACCTGATCACCTGACTAGGCTGAGTAAGCAAGATGTTCTAGCAGGTTCCACCACAGAGGTATAAATATAAGGCCTACTCTGCCTGGGGACTCTCTCTTCAGACTTGGTCTCTTAGGATCATCCACAGGTACCTATACTGTAGATAGGTCTTAGTCGTCAGGTCTACTCCACTTCCTTGTTGCCTGCTTAGACTCTTGGCACTCTTAGGTGAGCAGACTTAGTCAGCCTGTGTTGCCCTAA